ACAAGCCTCCAGGAATTGATGGAATGCAAATTGAAATCTTTCAACAAATTGATGCGGCCCTGGAGGCAGTCACTCATCTATGCCAAGAAATTTGGAAGGGAGATACCTAGCCAAACAAATCTGTATTTGTGCCCATTACAAAAAGAGGTGATCCAGTAGAATGCAAAAATCATCAAACAGTATCATGAATATTACATGCAAGTAAGATTTTTCTGAATATAATTCAAAAATGGCTGTAACAGTACATTGACAGCGAACTGCCAGAGGTTCAAGGATTTAGAAGAGGATGTGTAACTAGGGATATCCTTGCTAACATGAGATGGATCTTGACAGACAGCAGAGAATACCAGAAAGATATTTAACTGTGTTTTATTGACTATGCAAAGGCTTTCAACTACATGGATCATGACAAGCTATGGATAACATGATGAAGAATGGGTATTCCAGAATACTTAATTGTGCTCATCAAGGGGATACCAAATGGTTTTAAATCAGGAAAGGTGTATGACAGTGTTGTATTCTTCCACCATACTTATTCAATCTGTACACTGAGCAAATAATCTGAGAAACTGGATTATATGAAGAAGAACGTGGCCATCAGGATTGGAGGAAGACTCAGTAACAACCTGCAATATGCAGAGGATACAACCTTGTTTGCTGGACATGAAGACTGAAAACACTTACTGATGAAGATCAAAGACTCTAGCCTTCAATATGGATTGCACCTCAATGTAAAGAAAACAAAAATACAACTGAAACAATAGACAGCATCAAGAGAAATGGAGAAAAGATTGAAGTTGTAAAGACTTCATTTTGGTTGGATCCACAATCAACACTCATGGAAGCAGTAACCAAAGAAATCAAACAGTGTCCTGCATTGGGTAAATATGCAACTCAAGATTTCTTTAAAATGTTCAAGAGCAAAGGTATCAGTTTGAGGACTAAGGTCTGTCTGACTCAAGTCACAATATTTTCAATAGCCTCATAAGAAAGTTGAACAATGAATTAAGGAAGACCATAGAAGAATTCATGCATTTGAATTATGGTGTTGGCGAAGAATATTGAAAGTACCATGGACTGCTAGAAGAATAAGTAAATTTGTGTTGGAAGTACACCCAGAATGCTCCTTAGAGGTAAGACTTTTGTCTCTCATACTTGGGACATGTTATCAAGACGGACCAGACACTGGAGACGAACTTGATAAAATGGAAAGTCAACAAAAAGGAAGAATACCGCAAGCAGATGGATTGGCGCAGTGGCAATGACTCAAACATAACAGTCATGAAAATG